CACCATACGATATGTATCATGATAATTGTTGGGCGATACAATTCACTACGATTCAGTGCATTTTTACGATTTTCTGAAAGATTTTAGAAGGACAGAGTGATTTTAGTGACATTTTGTGTTCCATAGACTTGAATTTAGTTAACTGAAAACTGATTAAAAGCACCAACTACACAATACCTGACTCTGATTGGACAGTCCAACAGTCTGCAGCTGGACAAAATGAATCAAAGACGCAGTGAGAGAATTAGTTTCTGTCATTTAATTCATGTGGATTTGACATAAAACTCAAAAGTTTAAACGGTAATCCAGGAGCAGAGTGGGGAAATTATCAGCCTCTGTAGACTCTCAATATGCAAATGATTGCACTTAGGTTTTTTCTTTTGGACACTGTGGCTGCATTTTGGAGTAAAAATGCAGCCACAAATGCAGTTTTTTGGACTATGGGGAAAAAGGCTTTTCTACCTTGTCTCCCGGAGTTAGCCGTGGCTGTAAGCTGCTTACTACTAACTGCTAAAGTAGTGGCTCCGCCTCACCCCGTAGTGATCGACTCCCTACAGCTACGCAGCGCCGCTATTCCCCTGCTTGGATCTTTGAGTAGCTGCCTCTCAGACTGCCAGGATCTCATAGTACTCTCAGCCTCTGATACTTTTTGTCTGTTGCTACTAAGAATGATCGATCAGCCATTGTTATCATGGAAATCCTCACTGCTCCGCGGATTCCGGCTGGGGGTTTTCCTCTTCGTCTTCCTGCTCAAAACACAGCGCCACTGCGTGCCCGGATGTTATCAACCCATGTTCATTCTTCAGGTAATCCTTTATATACAGAACAGAAACCGCTAAGCTAAAAACTAATTACAAAGTGAATGCTACCAGTCGAAATTTGCATTAATTTCGCGATCTCACTGCTTTTGCAGCTGCTCCGTTCGCGCCGCTACTCCTTTCCGCTTCTCCGTTCCGCTTCTCTTTCACGGTTACTTGCAACTTTACTTCGTTTCTCAGCAACAAAATACAGCCCATCGTTATTTATTGAAGATTTTACATTTCCAAAACAGGAATCTAATGTTTCGCTTCGTTTTGTACGTTTGGAAGTTCATTCCCTCTCACATAATCGGAAAAGCCGGAGAATGGCGGCGCTTTTGACATTTCTCTGACATTCGGAAAAATATGGTTTACTAATTTTAGCATAACTCCGGTTATACTTGGCCCATTAACACAATTTAAAAACTGGTGTGTAGTTTATAATGTGCACTTTAAGCTCAAGTTGAAAGTGAGACTGAGAGAGGCGGAGTCTTGCTGCTACGCCGTAACAAACTAGATGTTAAAAAGAGCTATATGGTTATGGTTTAATGGATCGATACTCGCGGATGAAAAATCGATACTTTCCGAGGGCGGAAAATATATCGCCGAATCGATTTATTTATACAGCCCTAGCTTGCGCCAGGCTAGTGTCAACCATCTTGCCACAGACTTTTGTGTTATGGTGTGTGTTAATGTATGTTGAGGTATATTTGGTGCTTGAACAATTATAATAAGCAGAGACAGTGCTAATAAAAAGTATTTACCCCCTTCAGAGCAGATGCTCTTGAACATGACCCATCACTATTACTCATTATTGATTTGTAAAAGCAATAAAAAGGATAAAAACATCCAAGGAGGTGAATACTCACACTCCATATATGCAATATTTGAATGATTTTAGAGGAGATCTCAAGTATCAAGTGTTCATGGACTACAGCTATTTGTGCACACTTGTGTTTCCTAGCCCACTTAAATACGGGGATCTACTATAGTTTCAATTCAGATATATATTTTTTTCTTTTTTAAAATAATAACCGATTTGTATTTTCTCCGCAGGTGCTGCTCGTGTTCTTCTACCCGCTGAACTCTTGTGCACACCCGTTTTTTTACGCCATCTTGACCAAGGCGTTTCACAGAGACATCCTGATGCTGTTCAGTCGGATGGGGCTGTGCCAGAAGCAGGCGTACCACTCTCGAAGCCAGTTCCTCAGCATCACTCCACATGTTTACAGAGAGACTTTGCCCGGCCGCGCTGCCAGTCAGCAATATCCCAAAACATGAACCACGTGTTCACTTCTCAAACATATTTAAATACAACCCAGTAGTCTCTTTCTTTGTGTCTGTTATTATGAATTACAGCAAAAAATGCTGTCCTCCTTCAATTTGAAATTAATAGAATAATAACAATACTGCAAAATGACAAACTAAAATCTGATTTTAATACATGCTTACATGTTTTAACTGATCTATTTTAGTGTAACCCAATGTAAGTTCAACAGTTTTAAATGATTTACAGATTAGTGAATACATCATTCTTAATTATCCATTGCAGAGGCTTTTAAATTCTTAGAACTTTAAGATGATGGTTAAGGAAAATAAATAACTCCACTATTTCCTAATTAATTTTTGCTTGTATATTTATGCAAGCTGTACTTTTCCAAGAGTCAGTACAAATGCAATTTCATCTGAGGGAATATAAGATAGAAAAGTATGCATTTTGGTTATCTTCAAGTAAAATCTAAACTGATGCTTCACACTTTCCATATGCAGGTGTTTGATGTTATCTAGCTATAATTAAAGGCCAGGTCATATGTTTGTTTGTTTCTTTTTTGTTGCAGTTAAATTCCAAACACATTTCCTAATGAGGTCATCTTCTGGGGTTTTTTCAATCCCCTTCCGGACACAAGCATGCAGCACCGAGCAGCTGCAGAAAAACACTTCAGTGCCTCTGTTTAGTTCCTTTGTGCTCACAGAAAGCAGGACAACAGCAATGGGCTTCCAGAGGCATTGCTGTGGTCTGGCAATGGTAAAAGAATGAAGAAAGTAAAGGAATTAATAGTGTTGGAAGAGATTTCCAATCTTTGGCTTCCAGTTTAGTTTGTTATGTAAGGGCCCAAGTCAGGTATCTTCTTTTATTTTCCTCCTGACTCCTGGGAGTGAAAAATATGCTGAAAAAATATGCTGGTTTTGTAATAACAACTACACAGTAAATATATGGGTGAAAACTACATATATGATCTGAGGAAAAATAAATAAAATGAAAAAGAGGTGAAAGTAGATATACTATAGAAGCGCTGAGAGAAAAAGAAAAACACTGAACAAACTAGCATTATTTAGTAGAGCTGATTATTTCATGTTACTGTAAACTTTTCTGCATGGGGAAATAGTTGGTAGCCTTAATACAATGGAAATGTTATAACTACAACATTTTTAAATCATTTACAATAAATGTATAAAGATATTTCAAAAATAGTCTATAGCTTTTAAACATTTAGGACCAACTTTTCATTCTCTGATAATTTTATCCAAGGTCTTATTTTAAATCCACTTTTAAAATAAAGCATTACCACGTAAATGTCTGTTTTGTTTAGTACGTTGGATCATAGTGCAAGAATCTCTTGCCATGAATCTAAAGCTTTTTTTTTTCCAAATGTGAAACAAACTTAAAGCTGCAGTACGTAACATTTACAAAATAACATGTTTTCTTAATATTTGTTAAAACTGTCATGTTGTGATAGCGTGGTATGAAACAAGTAATCTGTGAAATAATCTCCTCCCTGAGCTTCTATTGCTGTTGGTCAGAAACAACCAATCTGAGCCAGGAGGAGGGTTCTAGTGTTGTCAATCATGTATTAGCTAGATGTGCTAATGTTGAAGAAACATTTTACAGTTACAGGAAAACTGTTAATCTGCTGTCATCAGTGGCCATGCTAACTACCCTTTGCATTCACGACAGGCTCTGCTGTTGGGAAGGTGATGTAGCGTGGTAGAGAGCAGGGTGTGGTGATGCTGAGCAGCACTAAGACCCGCCTCCTGGCTCTGATTGGTTCTTTCCAGCTACCGCTGGGAGCACTAGGAGAACACAGAGGACCTTGATTTTTCCACAGATTATCCATCTCATGCAATACTGTCACGACATAGTGACAGTTTCAACAAACACGTAAAACAAATATATTTTCTAAAAGTTACATACTGCAGTTTTAATGACCTTGAAATGAAATTATAACTGTCAGTGAGACAGTAGTCTCCATCATTAGAACTCACAACAGTTTTGCTCTCAAATACTTTTAATTTTATCTTCAATTTGACAATGCACAGTTGGTGTTAATTCAGATTTTTCTGAAGCATATGAAGTAGTGTATGAAGTAATAATCAACAACTATTACTGAATTTTAGTTGTTTGAAATAATAGAATGATAACTCTTAGTTGATGAGGCTGATAAAATCACTTGGTTCTTTGGCTCAGACAACAGCAATAAAGTAAGCAATGGAATAAATATGTAGAGATTCACAGCCTATATTATGTTTTCAAAGTAAGAAGAAAGTTTGAATTTTCTTTCTCTATTAGCTTAAAGCAGTTTTGTTGGAAGCTCTAGTCAGCCTAATTATGAAACTTCCTCCATTATGCATACTGATGTCTATTTCTGCAAACTCACTTCTGTCCACATCAGATAAGGCCCCATTTAGTGGCAGAGATTTGCTGAATGTTAAAAATGACTACCCAGATGAAATAATTTTTACTTAAGTTTATTTTAGTAAACATACAAACATTACATTTAATAGCAAATCAGTTTCCTACATCCTCTGACTTGAGTATTTTTATAATGATGGTCTGTCTGGAACCGTCTTCCCCCCCAAACACTGAACATTCATGATGAACATCTTTTTACCAGATGCCTTTAATCAGGCTATAAAAATACATTGAAAAGTAAACTTTTTGAACTCACAGGCCCAATCTGAATTTAGAGTGTTTTCAGACCTGACAGTCCGATAGACTCAGTTCAGTTGGGGACAAAAATTGCAACATTTGTTAAATTTCCAGCTGCTGTGGTTCTGTTTCTCACTGCATTGTGCCAAATGATCCAGCAACCTGTTCCTCCCTCACCTTTCTGCTGCACCAAGAACCACTGAAGCAACAACACAAAAGAGGAAGAGAAAAAAACCGCTAAAATCTGATGCCACTCCCTTTTTGTTTATATTTCGTAAAGAAGGAAGTTGCGCTCATGTTCTTCTTCAGTGGTTCTTGGCGCAGCGCCCCCACAGGCGAGGAGGTGAACACGTTTTTCAATCTAAAAGCAATCTGTAAGTTGTGAAAACACCTTTAGTCTAAACCAGTGTTTCTCAACCCTGGTCCTCACCGCCCCCCTGTCCTGCATGTTTTAGGTATTTCTCTTCCACTCATCTAAATTGTATCTCTGGTGATTAACAGGCTTCTGCAGTACTTGATGGTCATGCAATAATTTTAATCAGCTGTTCTGGAATAGAGGCACATCTAAAACATGCAGAGCAGGGGGGCGGTGAGGACCAGGGTTGAGAAACACTGGTCTAAACAGACACCTTTCAACCACAGTTCTGAAGTCTTTGTAACCATCAATTTCAGAGAGTGATCCTACAGCATATCTCTGTGTCCAGATGTTTCTCGTACGATTGCACTGTAGACCGATTTGTATGCCTTCAAAACATCAAGAGCAGAAGGCCGGAGTTTAGGGTCCACATCTTTGCATTGCTTATGGATCTGAAAAAGATGAAAATGAACTAAATCTCCACCTGGAGTCCTTCCCATTATGAACTGTGTCAAATCTGGAATCTTCCAGATATCGGTCTTTTCATCGTACGGTGGCATTAGATCGTCTGAAAATGGCTGCCCACTGTCTCTGAAAGGCCAAAGCTGCTCTGGGGCCACGAAGTCTCCAGTGAGCTCTCGGCTGCCGCATTTCACCAGGGCGCCCTTAGATGTGTCTACTTCAGGCAGAGCGTCCAGGTCGTTCACTACCAGGTGGAAGTCATTCGTCAGCAGGACCTGGGAAAGGGTTTTCTCCAGGCTGTTGGAGTCACACATCACCCGCCGCCCAGCAGGGCTGTTGTGGAGGTAGTGGAGGATGGAGACGTAGTCTGTGGCCAGTCTCAGTCGGAGGTGCCAAGTATTTAGATGCTGGTATTTCTGCTGTGCCAGAACATCTTCTAGGTTTAGCAGCGAGCCGTGTGGATGGTGCTGGGTAACTATGATGTCGTCTTCAAGGCAAAACCCCACCAACTGCACCACATGTGGGCCCTGAAGGTCCAGTAACATCGACAGTCCATGGAGAAAATCATCTCGGTATTCCAGGGAGGCCAGCTCAGACAGAGCCACCTTATGACCTCTCCATTCTGCCAGATAAACCTAAGGAAAGATAACACAGAACATTCCAGTTATATTTAAATTAGGGTTGTCAATGTTAACGTGATTAATTGAAAAAGTTTAAGACTTCAATATTACATAATGCAGATTCATGCATTATGAATCTGCATTTATAATGCAGATTCATAATGCATTGCTATGAAATGGCAAACTGGGGAAATGATTAGCAACCAATGAGAATGACAAAAAAAGAAAACACACAAAGAAAATCATTCATTTGCTAATTCATAACCTCATTTCATAGCCAAATGCTGCCATGTTGTCTCCTTCTACTTCTATTCTGTAAAAAGGTATGAAAAGGCTCTTGTATTTACTAATTACTTAAGTTTGTTTTGGTCTCACTTTCATATCTTTTAATCTATCTATTAAACCAAGGCTGAATTTAAAGGTAAACACACCTTCTTCACAGCTCCCAGGCCAATCAGCTTTATCTTGCGCACTTCTGCTTCAATCTGTGAACACTGGAGCCAGGGGCTACAGTTCTTCATGACCGGCAGTTTAAAGTGTTGAGGGAGACAGCCAGAGTGTGTGTTCACCAGCTGCTCCTCCGACTGATACACAGCATCCAGGTACAGGTATATCAAGGCACTGCTGAGCATCAAAGCAGCAAGGCATCCCATCACAACAGGAAACACAAGGGAGTTAATGCTGCTTCCGTGGTGACCCATGCTACTCTGCAGGTAAAAGATAAAGCAACATATTATTGCACACAAAAAGTGAGTAAGAAATATAAAATTTGCAGATGATCAAATAATTATCATCCTCACTGTATATAACATCAGCATCATAATATCCTGGGTGACGGAATCCAAAGATACATTTGTGTTTGCAGTGCAACTTACTAAAGGACATTTAACCAAATATTATTGAATGTGTATGTATTTAAATATTTGTGTATTAATTTTGATCCTGTCCAGATTTGAGGAAATCTAGAATAAACTTCATAGAACGTCACATTTTGTTTTCATAATTCCATTCAAAAATGTGTGCAAACCATTAAAAGCTCTAAATTACTATGAAATAAAATTGAGACTTTTCCAAAGGCTTTTCTATAATATAATATATATAGTCAATAATATAAATTTAAGAAATATAAAATACTTCTGTACAGGAAAAGGTTCAGTACATCAATTCAAAAACCTGGAACTCATTCAACTTTTCACTAATTTTTCTGTTTATCTAGATGATTATGGCTTACAGCAAATGAAAACATTTTGAAAATGAAATATTTTTTATTGTTTTGAGGTTCTCAGAAATTTGGAATATTTCTTGAGTCTAAGTTGCCCCCGGGCCACACTTTGGACACCCTAGACTGAACCAAACTTCTCATCCCCATAAAACGCTCCAGTAAACAACATGACCATGGCTGTCAGATCATGTCTGTTTGTTACAGTGTAACAATGAGCAAAAAGAATTAAAAACATGCCAGTTTCTCTTACTGTGGCACCGTTCATTATCACAGCATGCTATTGTAAACATGTCTAGCAAAGCACAAAATGCTTAATGTGCTAAAAACCGAGAATATTGTGTGTTATTTCTCTACACTCCGTTTATCAGGCATTAGCGCAGCCACCAAGTCTCTTTCAAATCCAGCTTCTATCACAGAATCTCACCAGCTGATTCTGAACACCGGTTTTTTATATACATACCTTCTAATTTGACAGTTCAGCGTCTTCATTTTCCATTTGCTTCTTCTTCTTTTAGTTGAAATTTATTGGCGGTTGGCAAGAAACGTTAAGTAAGCATTACCGCCTCCAACTGATAATGAGTTTGGACCTTTCCATTCTTCTTCTTTCCATTCTGCTTCTTCTTCCTCGAAATTTATTAACGCAGCTTGCAACTGCAGAGCTGCATTACTGCCATCTGGTGGATTAATCGACTTAATCTATCTTTTTTTACTTTTAAATATCAAGTATTTTATTCCTGTTTCAGCAGTTTTTCTGTTATTGTTCAGTCTCCTTTGACATGAGATAAACAACTGACATTTTGTACCTCAGACTGTTCTCAACTCATTGGCTATAAACTAGACTCGCTTATCTTGCAAAACAGCTTGAGGTTACGTTTGATGTGAATTTTGTAATTCCATGCGTCAATGTATTTTTTGGAATTATATATACACAAAGTAATGTATGAGCGGGGATGGCAAATAATAAATTAATTCCAATTTTTTTTTCTTTTTATTTCTGAAAGATTAAACAGAGATCTGCAGCTTATGGAAGAGGTTTTAGGCAAAGCATCGTCATGCTCTTAATAAATTTGGGCTTTCTAAAATAGAGGCAAGAAGAAAGTCGATATTTAAAGCAAACCACAGGAGGTCCTGTGAGGGAAACAGCAAACCTGGAATGAGAAGCCCTGTTCAGCCAAAATGGAACTTTCTTTTCAGGCTGCATGCAAAACGTTGCAGCCCAAAGAAAAACACGTCTCTGTCTGTGAAACATGATGGGAGCAGCAGAATGCTGTGGAACGTTGCACAAGAACTGGAGAAGTAGGTTCCTGTAGGTTGACTGTACAATGATCTTCAACATACAACCATAATTACAATGAACTGGTTTAGGTTAAATCATATTCTTTTGAATTATTATCTTTATAATTCATATTATTATTGTTGTTATTATCAGATTCAATTTTTCATACTTCTGTCCTACTTCTCCTTAATATGTCCTGCTGTAACAACTGATTTTGTCCACTCTGGGATTAAAAAATGACTATTCTATTCTATTCTATTCTATTCTATTCTATTCTATTCTATTCTATTCTATGTTAGAATGGGTCAGCAATGGTACCATCCAATCTGACTGAGCATGGACTATTTTAGGACGGAAGAAACAGTCACTAAATGTTGTTTGTAATGTAAAAAAACAAACAAACAAACAAAAAACATAAAAATGTTAAAGTTACAGGTTTTCATGTCAGTGCTGTCAGTTTAATGCACTGGCATCCTTTGAATGACGCCAGTGCATTAAAAGGAATTAAAGAAAGCATCGGCTTATAATGCAGAACATAAATATATTTAAAAAGCATAGGAAGAAAAACAAACATTCATAATTGGTATTATGATAGTTTTTTTATGACAGTATTACTTATCTCATGAGCAGAACACTGAACATCAGTTTCCTATTGATTGATTTTACAGCTAAAAACGTCGGACGCGCTGACATAACGATCCAATAAGATTATACGTCACTTCGGCATCTACGCTTGCTGTCTGTGCCTCCCATGGACTATTATGGTCAATCTATGGCTACTTGGTGCTTTTACTCTGAAAGGGGAAGTGCAGACGTGACTTCTTATCAATTAAAAAAAAAAAAAAAACGAAAAAAAAAAACGAGAAAACAATCGTCATCTGGAAAGACGTGCTGCGACCACCAGCAGGTATTGTATTCCGTTGATTGAAAATACTAGCCGTATCTTTGCGAATTGTCTTCTCTTGTTTGGTCGCAGTTTAATAGAAGTCGGTTACAATATAGACAACCACCTTTAGCCTATGGAGCTCATAGATATTACTGTTTAAACCGTATTAGCCACATTAGCTAACAATGTTAGAGCATCTCTACAGCGAAGGTGTATCGTTCCAGCACTTATTAGCTACAGTGAGCTCTATTTTAGCCATTTTGACCAGGTGTAACACGCCGGTAGTCGGAAAACATAATGGTGATATGTTTTCGTCTGATTCAGGCTCTCCGTCGATGTTTTAACTATCCTATAGTTCGAAATGATTTGAACCAAACATATTTTAGCACACCAAATAAAAACGCCACCAAATGAAAACGTCAAGTTCCTACATGCTTATTGTAAAAACTCATATATTTAACACATTTATTATCTCTGCTTGGCCTTAACCAGCTGTCGCCTCAAACCACAGAAGTCGTGTTTACCACATCAGTGAAAATTTAAAATGATTCTAAAGTCGTTCTCGAGAGTTTACACAGTCGTATAAATGTTCATATTAACACTGCGTATAGATTTAATGTGGTTGACGGTTTATTGCGTACTCCGTGTGTGGGAAGAGTCTCGTTTCCATAGTTTCCTTTTCGCTCTCAGAGGGTTGTTATGTTAGCACAGAGCTGACCTTCAGCCTTCTTTCCTCAGTTGGATCCACCATGCTCTGTCAACAGCGATGAGTCATCAGGAAAGCAGAGCATTTCAATGAGCTTTAACACTGAAAAGCATCCTCTAAATTTAAAGTTCAATGATACCAACAGATGCTTGCACTCTCCGACGCAGAGGAGAATATCACTGAGCTTTGCAGTAGCTGTAACTAGTTATGTTCCCCACATTTTCCGTAGTTATATGTTGAAACAAACAATTAATTTATTTTATTAGTCCCACAAGTGGAGAAATTAAGCTGTTATGACAGAACAAAAGAGTAACAGAAATAAAACAATGGTACAGAGTAGAACCATACAAGCTAAAATGGAAACATAAATATGAAAATATCAATATAAATATATAAAAGATACATGTATAAAAATATATGCACACAAGTTTACATTTACAAAACCGCAGCTGCATGCACACACACATGCATATACGTACACATACATACATTCATATATACACATGCACCCACAGGGAACAGTATGTTCATATCACACTCATAGAAATATTGCACATCAACAGAAAACTACCAAGTCTATAGAAGAAATGTGTTTGTCAGCCTGTTGTGTGAATGATCAGCTGCAAAGAATGTTGTAGAGTCTGACAGCAGTAGGAAGGAAAGACCTTCTGAAGGAGCTGCTCAGTGCTGTCACATTCCCTGCATGGGCTGGGTGATGTTGTCCAGCAGGGATGACAGCTTATCTGCCATTCTTCTTTCACACTCCACCTCCACTGGGTCCAGAGGGCATCCTGGAACAGAGCATGTCATCCAGATCAGCCTGTTCAGTCTCTTTCTGTCCCCAGGAGACTGCACCTTTGCAGTGGAGAATGCACCATCTCTTTGGTTTCTCCTCTGTTTGTCTGGAGGTAGTTCTGCTTGCACCACTCCACAGTCATTAGTCAGTTCTCCATAGTCCTTGTGGTCCCCATCTGTGATGAGGCAGCTGTTGTGCTCTGTAAAAAGCAGTTTGTGGAATTGTCAGAACCGTTCCCTGTGGTGCTCCAGTACTGTCTGAAACACAGCCCTGACCTCGGTTTGTGAGGTAGTCCAGGATCCATGAGGCAAGCTCATGCTCCACTCCTTTCTTCTCCAGCTTGTCTCTCAGAGTTGTGGGTCAGATGGTGTTGAAGTAACTGGAGAAACTGATAAAACATGATTCTCACAGAGCTGCTGACAGTGTCCAGGTGAGAGAGAGCATCATCCACCCTAATGCCTGAGGGATTAATAGAAAACTTTCAAATGACACCAAGGTCATGTGTGCAGGTTAAAAACGAAGTTTGCTGCAATAATTTTGCAGTAAAGCTGAATTTTTGAACCTTAATTTTCATTAAAATCTGTGAAAAGGTTTGAACTCAGTATCAGCAAAACAAGACTTGATGTTCAAAAAAATGTTTCAAGTATTGGGATGAAATGATTATTATCTGCCTTTATAATGGTTACAAGAAATGGTGGTTGGATGAAATGTTGTTTAGTCAGAGGCCATGTTTGTAACTGTAGAATTTTAAGGAACAGACATTCCTTAAAATGTCTATTTCAGAAGAAACAGTGTAGTGTGTTTTGTTTGTAGCGTGTTCAGGAACTCAGCATTGTGTGTTTTAGTTATCTTTATGTTCTAATGGCTGGTTTTCCCATTTGCAGCCTGGTAGTGAACGGCAGAGTGAAACCTGTAGGTGTGATGGGACTCCTAGTGGTCAGTTTGGTGGTAGCGTTCCTCCATCACAGTCACAGTGTGGAACTGCAGCCCTCCCTGTATGGGTCAAAGAGGTAAGGAAGACCTTAAATTCAACTCGGAACCTTTTATTCACTAAAAGATTCTAGCTTAAATATCTACATGCCGTTTATATTGACTGAGGTTTAAATTCTGGGTTTCCTGCTGAATGTACTCCCAGTAATGACAAACAGAACAGATCTGCTTTAAATAAATAAAGGAGGAGTGTATATGTTAGTAATGGAGTGTATGTTGTTGTCATTCCAAGGGTTTGGGAAAATGTCTTAAATCCCAGTGACTGTGTGTCCAGAGTCAGGCCGCCGCAGCTCTTTAACTCTCAGAATTTCACAGTGGATCTAAGAATGCCTGGGGTTTTACCAACTGAGGTGAGTCTTTTATTTTTTTACTACCCTAAATCTACTTCTAATTTAAGAAAATTATGGTAAGTTTCTGGTTTACCTTCAAATAAATGTTATGCAGAACATTTGTGTTTGGTTGAAATAAAGTGATGAGCCTCATCCTCTTATTGTTTCAGTCGGACACTTACCTGTGCTTGGCCTTTCCTGTGCCAACTAGTCGTGATTCATATATTGGTGAGCAAGTCTTCACTTAATGAAATAGCTGTTTTAAATAAACAGATGTTTGGTAACGCCATGTTTTTATTCACCATGAGAAAACAACATGGTCTGTTTGAATTAAATATAAAAATTAAAACACAAAAATTGTTTGACTTAAATTATAAAAATATGATTTTTACATATTTGTTAAAATTGACAATGCAATATGAGATGGATAATCTTTGCCTCCTCAATATGGTCTTACAGCAATCTGCAGAAATACACGGCTTCCTGTCAGAAACAACCAATCAGAGCTAGGGGGAGGGTCTTAGCACTGTTAATCAGCCACCAATGGCAGTTTTCCTGCAACGTTAGGTTGTCTGCCTACCATTGGAACAGCTGGAACTTATGAGCGCTGTGCAGAAGAGGGTGCAAGCAGTGCTTGTACAAGCATAATTGACAGCATTACGATTCTTCTCCTGGCTCTGATTGGTTGTCTCTGACTGGAAGCAGATGAAGGTTGGGCAACAGGGAAGAGGCAGGGGATCTCAGTTTTTTTTGTTTGTTTTTTTTAATTTAGATTATCTGTGTCATCTTATACTGTCAGGAATAGTGACAGTAATAATAGTTGTAAAATTCATATGGAAATGTTGAAAAATTGTTAAAACTCTGTTGATTTAGTTGAAAATGTTTCCATTAAGCACAGTGTGTTTCCTCTCTCAGTGGACTTCCTACCTCATGCCAGTATGGACACTGTTCACCACATGCTGCTGTTTGGCTGCCAGACTCCTGTCTCCACCAGCAGCTACTGGTAAGAACCCATGTCAAAATAACACAAAGAGAATCATTTTTACAAGCTGGAGCTCAGTTTTGAATGCTGTATTTCATCAAACTTTTGATCCATAATCTACATAATTTTTTTCTCATTATTTTTAAATCTTTTGATCAGTTAAAGCGTCCCATCATGATATGAGAGATTGCAGTTGAACTCCTGGTGGCGCATGTACAGTAGCTGGTTGGGGACAGGAGAGATGCTAAGAAAATATTTGTAAACCTCCCATCATTCTGTCATTTAGCAAATAGAAATAATTTTGCTGATCCTAAATTACCTAAAACAGTAAAAGCTTAGTTAGGTTTAATTTAAGACTATAAAAAAGGTTGTATGTCTTTTCATGGCATTGGTTTTCTTCCTTCTCTGCTCAGGGACTGTGGCAGTGTACAGGGAACTTGTGAAGACGAGTCTTCCATCATGTATGCCTGGGCTCGAAACGCTCCACCAACAAAATTACCTAAAGGTACGTCACACACTCAAGGTAAACAATTTGCATCGTTTCAAGTTATGTATTGTTTTAACAGGTATGAAAATTATTTTATTAGGAGAAACATTAACAAAAACAGTTTTAGGAAAGGTTCAGATGAATATAAATAGCTGCCGATAATGTTCAGAATTCATTCTTTATTTAATGAATAGTTGGTTAGCTACATTCAGACAGAAAAGAGAGAAGGTTAGGGTTTTTCACTGATTTGTATTCCTCTTCTTCCATCAGATGTTGGCTTTAAAGTCGGAAGAAATTCAGGAATGTCTTACTTTGTGCTGCAGATACATTATGGAGATGTCAGTGCCTTCAGAGGTGAGTGTTTCTTAACCTTTCTATCAAACTCCCCAAACTTCTGAATAGATCCAAGTTGCTGCAATTTATTAGTTACTGCATAGAACAAAATGGGGAGAAAAGTTGTAGGCGGTTTCAGATTACCCTTTCTTCCTGTGATCTTTACGTTTTGCGATCAAGTGAAATGAATCCGGGTGGTGGTGTCATCCCATCAGTATTACACACCTGATCCACCTTCAGTTCAATTCAGAATACTTTGTTGAACTTTCTTCCTGTATTTCTTCACAAATTGAAAAAGGACTAAATGTTTTTACTTTTTACTTTCTAAATATATTTTTTTTTTTATAATCTTTTTCTCGTGATAAAGAAACTCCCACACATGTTGAAAAAACTGGTTGATAAGCTGTTGAGAAACAGACTGAACAACCTTGAACACATCTACAGACAGACATGCGTGAAAATATTCCAGCCAAGCAAAAGCATCCACCTTTCACTGCTCTGCAGCAGTAGAAAGTGTTGCTAACCAGCCCTTTAAGTAAGATGACAAAAAAGTCAAAGATAGCAAAAGCTATTTAGAAAAACTGTTAATGGAGGTTTGTTAAATAACTAAAATGCGATTTCAAGAGCAGTTATCTAAATTTCTTTTCAGTAACTGATAAGTTCTAGGTTTTTGGTCATTGCTCTTAAATTAGAAAGTGTTAGCTTTGTTGAATTTCCAGTGAATGTTGTCAGCTTTAAATTGGATCCATATTTTTATGGAGCTACATTCAGACAGAAAAGGTACATTTTTCTCCAGAGCCCATATAAGCTAACTGAAGACTGATTAGTTGTTGGATTGTTGCTGAGCTCTGTCTGTCAGACAGTCAGCATTTACAGTCACTTCCACATTGTGCCATTCTGAGCCAGAAAAATGCATATGGATTTTAGCAACAGTGCTTTAGCAGTTGAACGTTTTCTGGGCCATGAGCAGACCATGGCCATATTAGTAGGACTAGGAGACTGGATGATGTTAGTAACTGTATTAATTGTTTTTTCTCCTGTTTTCCAGATCATCACAGAGATTGCTCTGGACTAACCTTAAGAATGACATTAAAACCGTAAGTCCACTTACTGACACTGCAGTAGCATCCAGTCCAGATTACTGACTCTTCAATACATTCAGATAAATAATAAAATTGGATTTTTGTTTTCTTAAAGAAAAAGATGAAAAGACACTGCAACATTTTGGTTTAGCTGGGGGAAGTATGCCACATGCAGATAGTGAAGGTACTTTGAAGGCCATTTTTGAAGGATTAAGAAAGCAGAGTTATTTTTGGTGATTGTAGAGATAAAATGAAAACATCCCTTAAATTGCCATATTAAAAAGGATGTATCTGCCTGCAGTATCTGGGATAACAAACATAAAACACCTTCCACTAACGCTGTGTGTGAAATCGAGGAAGGTCTGGCCAGTTGGCTGGTTCTGCCTGTATGTCCATTTTACTGAGTTAAAATGGAGAAAGAAAGAGCTTCCTTTGTTCTTTGTTTGTCCATTAAAGGCAGCCCTTCATTGCGGGCATCTACCTGCTAATGTCTGTGGACACGGTCATCCTTCCAGGAAAAAAAGGTACATTTGTTCTTTGTGAAGCTTTAGGTTGGTAAACCTCAAAGTCTCTATATTATTCTCTGACTGGCTGTTGACTCATAAACTTTATCAAGTAGTGTAATCATGTGCAGCACTGTAATAGATGATGGCTTACCTGCTTATAGTTTGTCAGACCATATTATTAATCTGTGTAGCTCCAGTATAGCGGTGGTCATTTGTTGTGATGAATTTTGATTTACTGTAGTCATGATAGATTCCAAGTTAAAACTCTCCGAGACTGACTGTATTGTTAGTATTACTGTTTTCTCGACTGATGAAATGTAGTTGCTGTGAGCAGTTTAGTGATAAAAATCATTCTTCTTTGTGACTGATGCACCAAAAAACATAATACTAACAGAATGTTTTTCAAGAGCTAGCCAGCAGCAGTTAGCAAACATCTGGTGGAACTGTGCATCAGCTGAGGTCATGATAGGAGCTGCTTCTAAATGCTGGTAGTAGAGTTTCCTTCTACTCAAATTCTTTAGAACCCGCTAATTATTAATCAACCTAACAAGTATTACCTTTTCAAAAATCAGAGAGAAGCTGAAGCTCTTTTTGTTTCACACTTTTTTCCACCAAATCGGTTCCAGTTCTCAGCTGGTGCTGGAGCTTCTTAGCCATTGTTCCTTGTGTTGCCACTGAGACAAACTCCAGCCGCAGCCCAGAAAACTGGCATCAGATCCAGTACAGGAAAGAGGAGACCTTATGCTTCAACGATTTGAAAATGTCAGATTAACATCAGAATAACAGAATGTCACTAATTTTCCTGCAGTTTATTCTGAAATCACCTGTCATCTTTTTTCAGCTGCATTCACAGCTGATAAAAGCTGATCAGGATTGTGAAGCATTCACAAGCAGAGATTATTTAAAACAGAACTAATGACCTTTTGAGCTATTTGTAGGGATGCTGGGATTGGTCATATTTTTATTAATTTACTCACTCAAAAAAAAAAATAGTCTCCAATCGCTACAATCTATAACAAGAACACAATCTGGTTCCGTTTCTCCACAGTAAACAGTAAAAGGTTTTACTGAATTCATATAGTGAATTAGATGTAGGCAAATGTCAGCATAAAGCTGGCAGTAAGATGTGACACATTTGTGCAGACAAACAGAAAAAGGAAGCAGCAGATGAAGTGTGTTGCTGTGTGAGTGTGTGATGATGAGACGTTCCACATGGGGAACTATGACAATGAGTTTTTTATGAACTTTACTTTGAGCAAGTAATTTTTAAAAAGGGAACTTACTGTTCTAAGTAGCTACTAGTTATACTTCAGTAACTTAATTATGCAGTCAGATTTTGGCCCCACGTTAAATTTTTATAAGATCATCCAGAATGAGATCTGTAACTATAACGAGTAAAAATTGAGAGAGCTACATAAGTTATAATACCTCATTTAGGAGATGAAGCAAAAATGCATTGACAGAAAAAACAGTTATTTGTATTTTTTTTCTTTCTTTCAGTTACAAATGCGGATGTTGCCTGTGACTATGATTCCTACCAGATCTACCCATTTGCCTTCAGGACCCACACACACAGCCTCGGTGAGGAGTCGGGTCATTTACTGCTTCTGTGTCTCCTGGAGTTGCATCCTTAGTTCTTCATGGTCATTTCTTTCACAGGCAAAGTGGTCAGCGGTTACAGGATTCGTGATGGGAAATGGAGTCTGATTGGGAGACAGTCCCCTCAGTTACCACAGGTAGATAACCACTGTGACATCACTTCTATACAACTGTTGTTTTTCTGAGAGATTTCTAATTTTTCTCTCAAAAGTCACTGCTGTCTGTTTGGAAGATAGTTGACTGCAATTTTTCACATTTTTTGTCCATATAAAATCCCCTCTTTGAATGGTGCATTCATAAAAAGATGTCAGGATATTTTTATCAGACTCATATGTAACATGTGTTTCCATCTCCCATTAAGCACATAAGAAGAGCCAAAAACCTTGAGTGACCATAAAAACATTTTTTGCAAAACAGGAAGATATTTCAGATTTTGATACTTCCATCAGCCTTATCTAGTGTGATACTTCAAAATGTGCATAAAAATACATTGATGGAACCATGGCTACTGTCTTCCATTCAGAGTAGAATATAAAAAACAATCTAAATCAGTTTGGGGTAAAAACAAAGACAGCAGTATTGTATTCAGGTTGTCCGCTGCATGGAGGACAACCTGGTCCTCCAGTGTCTGTCCCATCTGAGGAATCCATTGATTAGCTCAACCTGAGGCAGATGGTCACATGGTGATGATGATGCACAGCAACGTTGCTGGTATTCAGAGCCTGAATGCATTTAGTCAGTTTTTATGAGGACTGAGAGACAGAGCTGGTCCTCGGCTTCGATTCTGTCGTCCCAGTTACGCAACCTGAAAACACACACAGCCTGTGATGTTGGTGTGTCATCTTTAATGATGTGAAAGGTTCATGGTTGTGTGTTTATTATGGGACTATGATCAGGAAGAGGCTTTAATCTCCTTTAGGTTTTTTTACAGTCAAGTTATTATATTAAGTGTCTTTTTCTTTGACTTTTTACCACATTATTATTATTATTATCATCATCATTATCTATTATTAGAACATAGTTAAAACATTATCATCAAAATCTGTGTTTTTAATAATACTGTATTATTTTAAATAAACATAACTGTTTCTTTATCTCCTAGTCGTAATGAATAGAAGTTCTATTTCTCATTTATGAATGTTTTTTCTAATTCATGCTGTTCTTTGCTCATTGATGAATGTTTTCATTCCAGGCTTTCTATCCTGCTAACAAGGAAGTGACTGTGCAGTATGGTGACACCGTGGCTGCCAGATGTGTTTTTAGTGGGGAGGGCCGGATCTCCAAAACGTACATCGGGTGAGTTTCATAAATCACTGCCAAATATTGCTGATTAGATGGAATCCAAACACACATTTGAATAATTTATACGATTATTCAAATAATCTTACTATATTTAAAATTTTCATTGGATTTTTTCAAAGGTTTAGAAAATAGAGCGATGCATATTTCATCAATTAAACTTCATTTGAACTTCTTATTTCTCTTCCCACCTTTTGTAGTTTTTGTGCCCACAAATAGCTTGTGAAGCATTGTCAGTTTCCATGCCAACCATCAGGCTCACAATACCTATATATGATGCAGACTGAAGTGGCTTTAAGGTAGCACCACTAATCAGTGCTGCTTGTGGCTTTAATTATCGTCATGCTTTTTTTCTGCAGGGGTACTTCAAATGATGAAATGTGCAACTTCTATATGATGTACTACATGGACAGCAAACATGCCGTTCCCTTCATGAGCTGCATGGAGACGGGCTCTAAAGAACTCTTTCGACATATTCCAGCAGAGGCAAATGTTCCCATTGCTGTGAGTCCAGGTCACATGCACGCCATGATGCCAATGGGAAATGCTACAGGTACAAAGATCTACCTCATCTACGTCTGTCTCATAAACAGTCTCGCGCGTAGTGAGCAACATTGCCAATAAATATCCTGTATAAATATCACTGAACTTTTTGCCAGCCAAAGTAGTTAAAGCTTCTTCATCGTCCTGCTCAGGCTTCAGAGAGGGCTGTGTGTTTTAGTCTTGTGCTTTGTGTTACTTCATCCAGATGAGTGAGTCATCTTCAGCTCAGTGCTTCTTGAAGGTGACAGTACTGCAGTGTCATGTCCATACCATGCTGCTGCTTCGTCATTCTCCATGCGTAATAACGGCTTTTGGCTTGTGGTAAAGCAACAGTTCTACAGAAACTACTCACAGAAAAGCTCAGAGCCAAACAAACGCATAATAAACGAGTTTTTACAGCATCACAAGCAGTTAACTTGTCAATTTATCCACGTATTTTCTTTATCAACTCTCCTATATAGCACTGCAATTTTCGATTATTTTAGTAATCAATTATCATGATGGTTAATCAATTAATCGGGGAAAGAAAATTAGTAAATTCTAGAGTTTTTTCATTTAACCACTCAATCCTGTTTTTGTACATTATTAGGAATATATTAAAAAAGCAATTAGGCACATAATTAAAAAAATAAAAAAAATTGGCTGCCTAAAGTGAAAAACAGCATTCCTTCAGTGAAAACTTGATCATTTCTAGAAAATAATGCATCTACAGATAAATTAACATGTAAAAGAATTCAGTCCTTCCTGCTCGACTTTAACATCAATACAGTGATCTGATCTGTTTATTACTTTTTTTAATTAACCAATTATTAATTGGATTGCAGAAAGGGCATAATGGGAGGCCTAAGTAAAACATATTTACAGACAAAGGTTTAATTTATCTTAAGTACAGACTGTTTTTATTGTTCATACAGTTTTGACTTAATTACTGCTCTGAACTTTATTATTTTAGTAAATGACCTTTTTTTAGTCTTTATACTCCAGTTAACGATTAATCGATTACTAAATCAGTCGACCGTTTTTTCAGTGATTCCTTCTACTTCCTTATTATTTTGTAAAAAATCCTCGTCATTTATTTACTGACAGGAAATAAATGATTTACTCTGAGTTTGTGTCCTTATGTGTAAAATGAGTGACAGCAAAACAGCTTGAATGAGGACAGATGAGAAGAGAGATGTAGAACTTAAACTTTCACTAACCTCTAGGCTCATTACAGACTATCATGCTTTACTTTGTGTGAAAGTGATTTAACGAAAGTGAGTCCATCAGGCGTTGTTGTGAATCCAGCATGAACTAAAAGCCAGATAATAGGCTTTCCAGTTAATTGTTGTCCATTAAAAATTATGTAATGTATGTGGGACTTTTTTTTTTTTTTAATAATTGAGGGAGCTCTTGGGCTGATGAATACTTTAGAAAACTAAACACAGTCTTCCACAGCTTTCTCTGATGTAACCTGAAACCTTGTTTGGACAGGAAGAACCTGCAGCTGCAAAGATCTGCTTCTCTAGACTGAACGTAGCGTGAAGCGCTTAGAGGTCCTCTAAGGCCTGTATGCAAGTACAGGCCATTTCCCGTTTCTGTTTGCTGATGATACAGAGCAGTCTCCATGGTAACTGAACTGAAGTGAAGTAACTTGCAGGGCAGCAAGTGACAATTGTGAGAGGACAACATCCTGTTTCTTAATCTCTACAAGACTTGGAAAAGTGCAGTCCAGTTTATTTGTGTCGCACATTTCAGCAACAAGGCTCTTCAAAGAGAGATGCAAAACTTTCACCGTCTGGCGATTAGATTCAGTAATGATTCTTACTATCCAAACGATCTAGAGATTCTGTTTAAGTTACGGAACAAAAGGAAAAGACATTGTAATCAGAACATTCATTAAACCATTCCCATACTGGATCAAATTCAGATAGGTTATATTTAAACAGAAATAGCTTCGTGCATAAAATTCTGTAATATAAAGCATGACTTTATAACTGTCTTTAAGTATCAGGTCTGAGTCCAAAAAATACAAAAATATATATAAATAACTCCAAAAAAGTACAAAGGTTTTAATAAAGGTGGCTGGTTACAAATCGCAGAGATGTTTAACATAAAGTAATTTTGAATAGAATTGTCTTTATTGATTCATTTAGTTGTTTTTCATCCCAAAGTTACATCTGATTCTTTTTATTTTCAAGACGACAAACAGCTGATGAATGCCAACAAAGCAGAGCCGGTTCTGGATCAGGGTGAGTTGAAAGGGAATCAAATGTGAACTATGTCCATAACACTACATGACCAGCTCATAGGTAATAAAACAGATGCTGAAATATAAAAAATAAAAATAAAAAAGATTAGTGGAAGTAGCAGCATGTTATGTAGTATAATGTTGAACCATAGTCTTAATTTCAACTATATAAATAGCAAAGTGAAATTGTGGGCTAATTGCTACTGATATCATCCTTGTTGTATTTAACAATATTCCATCTGCATATTTTTTGATTTTTGAATTTTTTTTTTCCTGTAAGATACTACGATAAACCAGACTGCACTGAATAATGACTTCATATGCCCATCTGATATGATTCACTAAACAATGAAATAAAAGGCTGACTGTACTGTAGTGACTGTGAGCGAGGCCAGCTGGAAAGGTTGACTGGATTCTAGTAAAAAGTTATTGTTTCCCAGTTAGCTTTGTGAAAATAAACATTTATGAGGAAGAACAGTGGAGAATTCTTCAGCTCATATGGAAGTGTGTGTGTGTGTGTGTGTGTGTGTGTGTTCATGGTGTGGTTGTAGATTCTCATTTGGAGCAGGTGTCGGCATGGCCACAGAGTTCTCTTCAGCTGGGCCAGGTGTCAGGACTCGCCCTGGACTCTGATTCCAACCTGGTCATTTTTCACAGAGGCGACCACCACTGGGGGGCAGAGTGGGTTACTTTCACTTTTCACATAGTTATGTTATTAACAAATTATTAATAAATGTTATCTAAGCACTTTAATGTCTGTTGTTTTCATCAAAACTGTTACTACTAAGAAATTAGTTGGAGATCTCACATGCAGCTTTTTCGTCTCCAGTTTTTGTATATTCATTTGAGCTTCATTGGCAGGTCTGTAACAGCACCTAAATGCAACAACAACTTTACTTTGGTGTAGATTTGATCATTTCTAGCAAAGTATTCATCTGCAGCTAAGAAATCCTTCTAACATCAACATGTGAGACGCCCAGCCCTTTCTGCTCAACTTAAAGGGGCAGTATTATGTCAAATAGACTTTTTAGATCTTTAAATCATGNCACCGTGGCTGCCAGATGTGTTTTTAGTGGGGAGGGCCGGATCTCCAAAACGTACATCGGGTGAGTTTCATAAATCACTGCCAAATATTGCTGATTAGATGGAATCCAAACACACATTTGAATAATTTATACGATTATTCAAATAATCTTACTATATTTAAAATTTTCATTGGATTTTTTCAAAGGTTTAGAAAATAGAGCGATGCATATTTCATCAATTAAACTTCATTTGAACTTCTTATTTCTCTTCCCACCTTTTGTAGTTTTTGTGCCCACAAATAGCTTGTGAAGCATTGTCAGTTTCCATGCCAACCATCAGGCTCACAATACCTATATATGATGCAGACTGAAGTGGCTTTAAGGTAGCACCACTAATCAGTGCTGCTTGTGGCTTTAATTATCGTCATGCTTTTTTTCTGCAGGGGTACTTCAAATGATGAAATGTGCAACTTCTATATGATGTACTACATGGACAGCAAACATGCCGTTCCCTTCATGAGCTGCATGGAGACGGGCTCTAAAGAACTCTTTCGACATATTCCAGCAGAGGCAAATGTTCCCATTGCTGTGAGTCCAGGTCACATGCACGCCATGATGCCAATGGGAAATGCTACAGGTACAAAGATCTACCTCATCTACGTCTGTCTCATAAACAGTCTCGCGCGTAGTGAGCAACATTGCCAATAAATATCCTGTATAAATATCACTGAACTTTTTGCCAGCCAAAGTAGTTAAAGCTTCTTCATCGTCCTGCTCAGGCTTCAGAGAGGGCTGTGTGTTTTAGTCTTGTGCTTTGTGTTACTTCATCCAGATGAGTGAGTCATCTTCAGCTCAGTGCTTCTTGAAGGTGACAGTACTGCAGTGTCATGTCCATACCATGCTGCTGCTTCGTCATTCTCCATGCGTAATAACGGCTTTTGGCTTGTGGTAAAGCAACAGTTCTACAGAAACTACTCACAGAAAAGCTCAGAGCCAAACAAACGCATAATAAACGAGTTTTTACAGCATCACAAGCAGTTAACTTGTCAATTTATCCACGTATTTTCTTTATCAACTCTCCTATATAGCACTGCAATTTTCGATTATTTTAGTAATCAATTATCATGATGGTTAATCAATTAATCGGGGAAAGAAAATTAGTAAATTCTAGAGTTTTTTCATTTAACCACTCAATCCTGTTTTTGTACATTATTAGGAATATATTAAAAAAGCAATTAGGCACATAATTAAAAAAATAAAAAAAATTGGCTGCCTAAAGTGAAAAACAGCATTCCTTCAGTGAAAACTTGATCATTTCTAGAAAATAATGCATCTACAGATAAATTAACATGTAAAAGAATTCAGTCCTTCCTGCTCGACTTTAACATCAATACAGTGATCTGATCTGTTTATTACTTTTTTTAATTAACCAATTATTAATTGGATTGCAGAAAGGGCATAATGGGAGGCCTAAGTAAAACATATTTACAGACAAAGGTTTAATTTATCTTAAGTACAGACTGTTTTTATTGTTCATACAGTTTTGACTTAATTACTGCTCTGAACTTTATTATTTTAGTAAATGACCTTTTTTTAGTCTTTATACTCCAGTTAACGATTAATCGATTACTAAATCAGTCGACCGTTTTTTCAGTGATTCCTTCTACTTCCTTATTATTTTGTAAAAAATCCTCGTCATTTATTTACTGACAGGAAATAAATGATTTACTCTGAGTTTGTGTCCTTATGTGTAAAATGAGTGACAGCAAAACAGCTTGAATGAGGACAGATGAGAAGAGAGATGTAGAACTTAAACTTTCACTAACCTCTAGGCTCATTACAGACTATCATGCTTTACTTTGTGTGAAAGTGATTTAACGAAAGTGAGTCCATCAGGCGTTGTTGTGAATCCAGCATGAACTAAAAGCCAGATAATAGGCTTTCCAGTTAATTGTTGTCCATTAAAAATTATGTAATGTATGTGGGACTTTTTTTTTTTTTTAATAATTGAGGGAGCTCTTGGGCTGATGAATACTTTAGAAAACTAAACACAGTCTTCCACAGCTTTCTCTGATGTAACCTGAAACCTTGTTTGGACAGGAAGAACCTGCAGCTGCAAAGATCTGCTTCTCTAGACTGAACGTAGCGTGAAGCGCTTAGAGGTCCTCTAAGGCCTGTATGCAAGTACAGGCCATTTCCCGTTTCTGTTTGCTGATGATACAGAGCAGTCTCCATGGTAACTGAACTGAAGTGAAGTAACTTGCAGGGCAGCAAGTGACAATTGTGAGAGGACAACATCCTGTTTCTTAATCTCTACAAGACTTGGAAAAGTGCAGTCCAGTTTATTTGTGTCGCACATTTCAGCAACAAGGCTCTTCAAAGAGAGATGCAAAACTTTCACCGTCTGGCGATTAGATTCAGTAATGATTCTTACTATCCAAACGATCTAGAGATTCTGTTTAAGTTACGGAACAAAAGGAAAAGACATTGTAATCAGAACATTCATTAAACCATTCCCATACTGGATCAAATTCAGATAGGTTATATTTAAACAGAAATAGCTTCGTGCATAAAATTCTGTAATATAAAGCATGACTTTATAACTGTCTTTAAGTATCAGGTCTGAGTCCAAAAAATACAAAAATATATATAAATAACTCCAAAAAAGTACAAAGGTTTTAATAAAGGTGGCTGGTTACAAATCGCAGAGATGTTTAACATAAAGTAATTTTGAATAGAATTGTCTTTATTGATTCATTTAGTTGTTTTTCATCCCAAAGTTACATCTGATTCTTTTTATTTTCAAGACGACAAACAGCTGATGAATGCCAACAAAGCAGAGCCGGTTCTGGATCAGGGTGAGTTGAAAGGGAATCAAATGTGAACTATGTCCATAACACTACATGACCAGCTCATAGGTAATAAAACAGATGCTGAAATATAAAAAATAAAAATAAAAAAGATTAGTGGAAGTAGCAGCATGTTATGTAGTATAATGTTGAACCATAGTCTTAATTTCAACTATATAAATAGCAAAGTGAAATTGTGGGCTAATTGCTACTGATATCATCCTTGTTGTATTTAACAATATTCCATCTGCATATTTTTTGATTTTTGAATTTTTTTTTTCCTGTAAGATACTACGATAAACCAGACTGCACTGAATAATGACTTCATATGCCCATCTGATATGATTCACTAAACAATGAAATAAAAGGCTGACTGTACTGTAGTGACTGTGAGCGAGGCCAGCTGGAAAGGTTGACTGGATTCTAGTAAAAAGTTATTGTTTCCCAGTTAGCTTTGTGAAAATAAACATTTATGAGGAAGAACAGTGGAGAATTCTTCAGCTCATATGGAAGTGTGTGTGTGTGTGTGTGTGTGTGTGTGTTCATGGTGTGGTTGTAGATTCTCATTTGGAGCAGGTGTCGGCATGGCCACAGAGTTCTCTTCAGCTGGGCCAGGTGTCAGGACTCGCCCTGGACTCTGATTCCAACCTGGTCATTTTTCACAGAGGCGACCACCACTGGGGGGCAGAGTGGGTTACTTTCACTTTTCACATAGTTATGTTATTAACAAATTATTAATAAATGTTATCTAAGCACTTTAATGTCTGTTGTTTTCATCAAAACTGTTACTACTAAGAAATTAGTTGGAGATCTCACATGCAGCTTTTTCGTCTCCAGTTTTTGTATATTCATTTGAGCTTCATTGGCAGGTCTGTAACAGCACCTAAATGCAACAACAACTTTACTTTGGTGTAGATTTGATCATTTCTAGCAAAGTATTCATCTGCAGCTAAGAAATCCTTCTAACATCAACATGTGAGACGCCCAGCCCTTTCTGCTCAACTTAAAGGGGCAGTATTATGTCAAATAGACTTTTTAGATCTTTAAATCATGTTATAATGTTAATTCCTCGTCAAAATCATATCTATAGTGTTGCCTTGATGCTTTCATGCATGTCTGAGAAATCCTTTAATCTCCATGGCAACCATTTAGCTGTCAAAAACACCTGGTTGGACCTAGCTCCGCCTTCAAGGGGCAGCTCCTCCTCGGAGCTGCAGTTTCCAAGGTTACACACAGTAAATGTTCTCCCTTGTGTGTTTGCTTAGTTCTTTCAACAGCCAGGCTCGATACCAGCAGCGGTCCCTGGGGCCCATTCAGCAGTCTACTATTCTGGTTGTGGATCCGGCCAACGGCAGAATCCTGAAGGCTTCAGGCCGAAACATGTGTGTGTGTGAGAAAATGTTTCCTGGTTATAAATGTAAAGGTTATAATGCTGGGATATGATGTGAAGCCCTGCAGAGTTGGGTCTATTTTTATGAACTTCAGATCGTTTTCTGGTCTTGCAGGTTTTATTTGCCTCATGGAATAACGACAGACCAGGAGAATAACTACTGGGTGACGGATGTGGCTCTGCATCAGGTGAGCTGCAGCGTGAGCTCTAACCACACTGGAGATACTTAACAAACCCACAGTTTGTATTAGCATCAATCTAACTGGTACATAGTAGGGCATAATCTTGAATTAGAAGAAAAAAAGTATGCAATAGGGATGGGCAATTATTGTGCCAATTTACTATTATTGTGTGAAAATATTTTTACCATCAGAAGAATTTGTCAACAATAAATTTGACATGGTTATGTATGCAAACCCTGAAAACTTAACGTAATTCTGGTTAATTATAAAAATGCACCATTTAATGTCTCTGGAGTGATCAGTTGTTCTTCATTAAAACTGTGTTAAGGGCATGTTTCAGTGTTTAGGCTGTGATTGAGAGATGTGCAGTCACAGCTTTACTCTGCAGGCAGAAAACCTGCAAAAAAAAATCCACAAAATACGACCAACGTTTTGCCCACCTCAGTGTGTTTCTGTAAGTTCCTCACAGCATGAGGCCAGACAATTTATCATGACAGCAATCAGTCAAAATTCTTATCATGATAACTGATAAACAATAGGATAAATTCCCACCCTGACAGTGGCAGTGAAGTCTCCTTCAGCTGTTTTCTGTGTTGCTTTTCTTCAGGTGTTAAAAGTGAGCGGTGACGGCAGGGACAGAACCCTGCTGGTCCTGGGAGAGGCTTTCACTCCGGGGAGCGACACAGAGCACTTCTGCCAGCCGACGGATGTGGCCGTCGACCCTGAAACCCAGAACATCTTTGTGTCCGACGGCTACTGCAACGCCAGGATCCTGAAGTTTGCTGCCGATGGCACATACTTAACTCAGTGGGGAGCAGGTAGCCAGCTCAAATTACACACAGAGACATGGAGTGTTAAAGCCCTAAAACCTAGAGATTTTAGTTTTATTCCAAAGAATATCAATAAATGGTTCAGGAAATTCATTAAACTTCAAGGTATTCCTCAGTGCCAAATATCAAAATGCAAATTTAATCAATGTAACCAAACTTATTCTTCAGGATCCCAGTTTCTGTGCAGTCAGAGCAACAATGACAGTATAATTCACTGTGATTACACGTTAGCAGCCCTGATGCTGTGTAGATCAGAAATTCACCTTCTCATTTCTACGTTCTGGGTAAAGGTTCGTCAGACAGAAGGAGGCGCACACCGTTCCGGATCCCCCACAGCTTGGTGTTCCTTCCTGACAGGAAGGAAGTGTGTGTGGCTGACAGGGAAAACGGCCGAATCCAGTGCTTCATCGCTGAGACCGGCGAGTTTGTCAAAGAGATAAAGAACGAAGATTTTGGAGGAGAAGTGTTTGCCATCACCTACAGCCCTGCCGGAAGTGAGTACACTGGCACTGTTGGTCCAAAGTTAGGTTTAGTTTCAACATCTTCACTTATCTCTGTTGAGGTTTTTTAAATTGTGAATATGTCATTTTAGTTGTTTTAATGAATCTCCTTCCTGTCATCTCGTCCTGAAGACGGCCTGATCTTTGCAGTGAACGGAGACTCGCCCTACCACTCAGCTCCACTCAGAGGGTTTGTTCTAGATTATTCAACCAAACAAATTCTGGATTCCTTCAGCCCCACCCAGAAGGTAAACACGCTGACATACACTGACAGATCTTTTCCTAAAAACAGATGTTTCCTAGAAAAGAAACAAAAGTGTTAGCCGGAATGTCATTATTAGATATTTGTGACTTCTTTAAAATCCATTTCTGGATTTCTCCATTTCTTATTGACACTAGAAACTCTCATAAAGGTTTGTCAAACAAACCTTCTTAGATTGGATTGGCAATTGTAATTTAATGCCGGATTGTTTAATCAGTTTAATGCAGTCAAGTTGGCTTTTTAAAATAATAATTTTGCAGATGTGATGATGTAATTGATACTAATGTTTTGTTGGATTTTCCCTTTGTGGAGAACTTAAAAGAGAGGAGGCAAGGTTATTATGTAAAATCAACGTTTTTGGTATTTTTATCATGATGTAATAGAAACCATGCCTAATCAAAGCTGAAGAACTAAAGACTGAGATGTCTCTTAAAGCTTTTGCTCCATTCAGACTAAGAATTATTGAATAATCAGCAATCTTGTGCAGTTGTGATCAATTTATCATGAATCTCAGAATATAAACACTTAAAAAGTATTTTATCTTTACTTTTAAAAGCTCAGGAAAAAAAGCTTTGAGTGTTTTTCTTTCTTTTCGTATTTGAGGATATGCTGACCTTGAAGTTGGTGCTCTCTTTAAAGCCAATGTATCATACAAAATTCACATTTTACACATTTTTGTACTTTCATTCGGATTTCAACTGCTTCTAAAAACAGCCAAAGTGTTAAAAATCATCCAGCCAGTTTTTGGAAACAAGTCGATTTTTTTTGTATCTGAAAAATGAGCTGTTTCAAAAACCTTCTGAATCTAACATCACGTTGTCAGCGGGCACTGCCCCTCACCTAGCAGGTAACGACGCCCAGCCTGTTACCTAGCAACCTCTGCCAAACTCCATTACATTTGGTCAATTGGTTTTACCACTGTATGCGCCGTACAATGGCTGCTGGAAAAGAGAAGTATTATTGACTTGCCATCCAAAAACCACTTGCTGCATGTTTGTTGGTTGTGGAGGAGGCTCCACTTCTGCTTTTCAAAGATGTATATTTGCGCATATATCATTTTAACGTGTGAGTGTAAATGTTGAGTTGGGGGGCGTGGCCAGAGGCAGCTTACTTAAACTTTAAAGTGACAGAGTCCCTAAAACAACGCATTCTGAAACAGAACATAGCAGACTGGAGTCAGGAAAACATAATAGGGTCTCCTCTAATTTAATGTCTCCACTGAGTTTTGGGAGTTCAAACACTGTAACATTCATCTTTAGCGGCTGGGTTTAAATATTGTTGGAAAATAAGTTTATCTCTCAGTTTTAGCTCAAAATAATCTATTATTTTTCTTCACCTTCACAATCAAGCATTACTGTGTGGTGATCTATGACATAAAATCCATCGAAGTTTGTGAACATAAAGTAACAAATGTGAAAAGGTTAAATATATGAATACTTTTGAAAGGTACCGTATGTTAATAACATGGTTACTGTTGTGTTTTCCTTTCTACAGGAGTTTAAAATGCCTCATGACATTGTCGTAGCTAAGGATGGAAGTGTTTTTGTTGGAGACGCAGGAAGCAATTCAGTCTTTAAGTTTACTGCAGAAAGTAAGTTCATCCTCATTATAACACCATGCTAAATGTTCTAACTAAATGTGCTTTGTCTTGTTCACATGGGTTCAAATTCAGCTTACCCAACATATTTTATTATCTCCATGTGACTTTTTCTGATTTGATTTCATTCACAGATTTGTTGGTTGCAAACTGCATACATTAGTTTTTATTAGAAACTTTCTTGTCTCCATTTCTCAGAGTTACACCGCTCTGTGAAGAAAGCTGGAATTGAGGTCCAGGAACTTGAAGGTAAGCAGACTAAGTTCCGTTTGCAATGCCTGACTGCTCTATCAGCTCCCAGTTTCATCCCTCCTGCTCTTTCCTAAGAAGTGGAGGCATTCGTTCAAGCCAAGCTGAGGCCACATCCCAACATTTCAAAGACTGCGCCTGTCAAGGAGAAGCAAACCGTGGCAGAGAAGAACCATCCGCTGGTGGAAGTGGAACCCAGGAAAAGCATACCAAAGTCAAAGAAAGAGAACAGCATCCTCCCTGCTGTTGTTGTCTCTCTGCTCCTCATCCTTCTGCTGGTCATCGTCTTCCTGGGAGTCTTCATGTGCTGGATGAAAAACAGTATGTATGATGAGAAAACAGGACGATTATCCTGACTTCATGCACTGATTCTCTCTAAGAGCTAACAAATATCTGCACATTTGTGTTTGTGCAGTTACGACTGAAAACACTTGCTTGACTTTCTTGTCAATCATTTATTGATTTATGTAACTCTTTACAAAGCAGCGAACCAGACAGCCAGAGTGCTTTACCATCAGAACAGGGCAGACTCTTACTTATACTCAAGTAAGAGTAGCATTATGTCTACATATTTTTACTCAAGTAAACATAAAAGAAGAAATGACTCAAGTAAAAGAAAAAGTACAGCGTAGTAAAAGTACTCCTACAAGTACATTTTAGGAGAAAAATGGCTGATGATTATCATTATGAATATTCTGAACTTATGAAAGCAGCCTGTCAGTCCCACCACTCTCGGCTCTGGCTACAGATCCAATCAGACTTCACACATGCAAAAAAAAAAAAAAAATCATATTTTTCAAAATATCTGATCTGAGCATGAAGACCTGCAGTGTGAATGTAGTCATCGGATGATTGTGGTAACAATTTTACTGTCCACTTTGTATTGAAGTGTTGCCGAGTTTGTATTTATTAATATTCTTGACTATTTTTTGATCATCGCTGGTATTAATTCATGGACACTAATAAAACATCAATACAGCTTGAAAATTGTCCAGTTCTGGTTGGCTGCTGATGGACATTAAACCTCTATGCCTGCACATCCAGACAGACCAGGTGTTCTGAAGGGAAGGTCAATGCTGACCGTAACTGATGACGGTTTCCTGTTGGTTGTGCTGTGTGGCCTGCACTCATTTTCTGTTTACTGACTGTTTTCAGAGAGAAATGAAATCAAAATGGAGCCTCGCTCTGTGGGAGGAGTTTT